CAGCTAACTTTACTAATGATGGCCACCATCTACAGCTACTTTAACAGATGATGGCCACCATCCCTACAAACTTCCAACTAATGAGGTTGCCGTCCCTACAGCTAACTTCTACTAATGATGGCCACCATCCCTCCAGCTAACTTCCACAGATGATGGCCACCATCCTACACTATTCCACTAATGATGGCCACCATCCCTACACTAACTTTTACAGATGATGCCACCATCCCTCCAGCTAACTTCCACTAATGATGTGCTGTCCTACAGCTACTTCCACTAATGATGGCCACCATCCCTCCTACTTCCACTAATGATGGCCACCATCCTTCTTCACAGATGATGGCCACCATCCCTACTATCTTCCACTAATGATGGCCACCATCCCTACAGCTAACTCCACTGGTAAGCCTCCATCCCTGCAGCTAACTTCCACTAATGATGGCCCACCATCCCTCCAGCTAACTTCCACAGATGATGGCCACCATCCCTACAGCTACCTTCCACTAATAATGGTTGCCATCCTATAGTTAACTTCCACAGATGGTATTTCCACCCCTGCAGCTAACTTCCACTATGATGGCCACCATCCCCTCATACTTCCACAGATATGGCCACCATCCCTCCAGCTAACTTCCACAGATGAGGCCACCATCCCTGTGCTTCCACTAATGATGGCTGGGTCCCTAAAGCTAATTTTCACAGAAGATGGCCACCATCCACCTACTTCCACTAGTGATGGTTGCGTCCCTATTCCAATGACGCACCATCCTACATTCCACAGATGATGGCCACCATCCCTACAGCTAACTTCCACTAATGATGGTTACCGTCCCTGTAAACTTTTCACTAATGATGGCCACCATCACAGCTAACTTCCACTAATGATGGTTCCGCCACAGCCTTCCACTAATGATGGCCCCATCCTCCAGCTATCTTCACTAATGATGGCCACCATCCCTCCAGCTAACTACATTCAGTGGCCACCATCCTACAGCTACTTCCACTATAATGGCCACCATCCCTTCTTTAACAGATGATGGCCACCATCCCTACAGCTAACTTCCAACTAATGATGGTTGCCGTCCCTACAGCTAACTTCTACTAATGATGAGCCACCATCCCTCCAGCTAACTTCCACAGATGACCACCATCCCTACAGCTAATCTCCCACTAATGATGGCCACCATCCCTACCAGCTAACTTTTACAGATGATGGCCACCATCCCTCCAGCTAACTTCCACTAATGATGTGCTGTCCCTACAGCTAATCTCCACCAATGATGGCCACCATCCTCCAGCTAACTTCCACTAATGATGGCCACCATCCCTGCAGCTAACTTCCACAGATGATGGCCACCATCCCTACAGCTAACTTCCACTAATGATGGCCACCATCCCTACAGCCAACTTCCACCAATGATGGCCACCATCCTCCAGCTAACTTCCACTAATGATGGCCACCATCCTCCAGCTAACTTCCACAGATGATGGTCACCATCCTCAGCTAACCTCCACTAATGGTTGCCATCCCTACAGCTAACTTCCACTAATGATGGTTGCCACCACAGCTGACTTCACTAATGATGGCCACCATCCCTCCAGTTAACTTCCACAGATGATATGGCCACCATCCCCAGCCAATTCCACAGATGATGGCCACCATCCCTACAGCTAACTTCCACAGATGATGGCCACCATCCCCAGCTAACTTCCACTAATGATGGCCACCATCCCTACAGCTAACTTCCACTAATGATGGCCACCATCCCTACAGCTAACTTCCCAACTGATGGTTGCCATCCCTACAGTTAACTTCCACTAATGATGGTTGCCGTCCATACAGCCAACTTCCACTATAATGGTTGCCATCCCTACAGCCATTTCCACTAATGATGGTTGCCGTCCATACAGCTAACTTTCACTAATGATGCCACCATCCTCCAGCTAACTCTCCACAGATGATGGCCCACCATCCCAGCTAGCTTCCCCACAGATGATGGCCACCATCCCTACAGCTAATCTCCACTAATGATGGCCACCATCCTCCAGCTAACTTTTAACAGATGATGGCCACCATCCCTAAAAGCAACTCCACTAATGATGGCCACCATCCCTCCAGCTAACCTCCACTAATGATGGCCACCATCCCTACAGCTAACTTTAACAGATGATGGCCACCATCCCTACAGCTAACTCTCCACTAATGAAGGCCACCATCCCTATAGCTAACTTCCAATAACGATGGTTGCTGTCCCACAGCTAATCTCTCCATGATGATGGCCACCATCCCTACAGCTAACTTCCACAGATGAATGGCCATCCCTAAGCTAACTTCACTAATGATACCATCCCTACAGCTAACTTTAACAGATGATGGCCACCATCCCTACAGCTAACTTCAATAATGATGGTTGCCCCCAGCATTTCCACAGATGATGGCCACCTTCCCTACAGCAAACTTCCACTGATTGATGGCCACCATACAGCTAACTTCCACAATGATGGCCACCATCCCTACAGCTAACTTCCACTAATGATGGGTGCCAAACCCTACAACTAACTTAAACTAATGATGGTTACCGTCCCTACAGCTAACTTCCACTAATGATGGCCACCATCCCTACAGCTAACTTCCACTAATGATGGCAACCATCCCTACAGCTAACTTCCACTAATGATGGCCACCATCCCTACAGCTAACTTCCACAGATGATGGCCACCATCCCTACAGCTAACTTCCACTAATGATGGCTACCATCCCTACAGCTAACTTCCACTAATGATGGCCACCATCCCTACAGCTAACTTCTACAGATGATGGCCACCATCCCTCCAGCTAACTTCCACTAATGATGGTCACCCTGCCTACAGCTAACTTCAACTAATGATGGTTGCCATTTAAGGGTTAACATAACAAATAATAGGAAGGGTAGGAGAGAAAAATCTTTAAAATTCATATTGTAAAGTTTGAAAATTAGGGGAGAACCAGTGAGGGTTTATGAGAGGAAATGAGTTTGTACTACAGTGCAGTATTTAGGAATAGTAGCGAGTGACTTAAGTTTTGGGAGAAAAATATTTTTCATGGCATGTGTTTATCTAACAAAAGTCTTAGCATAAAACTATTGACATAAAACAATGTTGGAGATATTACACCTTTTTGGGGTAGGTGTTGGGAACCTTCCTTACTTGGTAGTGCAGGTTGGAATTAATTCAATGTACCTTTAATGTTTCACGTCTGTGCTACAGGTGCCATGTCTTGCTTTATCATATACTAAAGCAGGGTATGTTCCACGTACAGTACAGTATTACTATAGTGTAAGTTGAAGGACTTGTTTTCTACATGTTATTTCATGACTTATTCTATGTATATGTCTCATGACTTGTTCTATGTACCGTTCTGCTCTATGCATTCTTATATCAGATGATGAATACTTGGCATAGTGAAGTTCACTTGTTTTGGCTGGTTTTTGCACCGTCGAGGTGAGCACCCAGCCAGGAGAACTCTGTCTACCCTCACACCATGCAGACACTTCTGCTTTTACCTTTAACTTCTGAAGTCTTCCAATACTTTCTTGTGTGTGTGTGTGTTTCCTATGTTTATGTACGCGGAGGTTCTGGTTATGACTATGGACAGTGTGCGGTAAGACTGGCATTTAACATGTTAATGTAGGAATTTGCCCCAAGTGTACTTGGATAGAAGTGCTTTTGTTTACCCTGACTTATTTACTATTGTATTCTTTCTTGTACAGAAGACATGTAAATATGGAAGTAAAGTAATAACAATGTTTATATTTGCTTTTTAAGTTTTGTTTCTATTATCACTAGGCCATCTTTTAATATACAGTACTTTGTCCTATTAATATAACCTTAAGTGACCAATAACTACAGGAGTATAGTTATATGATGCAGGGTTTTCAGGGGAAACTTGTTGCATGTGTGTTAGGTCTCTGTCCCAGTACAGTAATAGAACTACAATTACTGTAGGTTTAGGGGGTGAAAAACATAAGTTTTTTCTTGAATTCCAAAGTTTTGGAAGCCTTCACGTATTTCAGAGAGAAGTGATCGTAACAATGGGAACGTGTTGATTCTGTACAGTTATAATAGGGAGCGTGAAGAATGTTATCAAGTGTGCATCAGTTATAGGGAGACTGTAGCGCATGTCAGGAGCTTGAATGGAGACAGAAGAGAAGGAGCCGTTTCACATGTAGAGGAGTGAATGTGTCAGAGAATGGAATGGACGACATATTGAACTGAATTTGCAGTGGGGGCGGACAATAAAAAAAGTGGCTATTAAGAAATGTATGGAAAGAACTGTGACAGAGGAAGCAAAATTGGGTATGTAGATATAGAGGACCTGTTGAGGGAACATATGGACTCTGTGCAAGATGAAGAAACCAGCATGAGAAGTGACAATAATAACCAACACAACAGCAATGCTTCTAAGTAGGGGTGAATTCTGGTGCAAAGAAAAAATGAAAACAGAAGAGAAATTTGGAAAGGAGAGAAAATTTGGAGAACTGACCATAATGAAAGAATGAAGAGGTGAAAGATTAAGAGAGCTTATAATACTGAGGTAAATAAGATGGAGAGATGCAGCCGAGGAGATGGAAATACAGTACGTCAGTATAGTATTATAAGTAAAGGAGATGGCAAACCAGGAAACAGTAAAAACATGCAGACAATCAAGCAATAGATGTATATTAGCTCAGAGACCTCACAGCAGAAACAACAGAGGAAGGCAACACTGCACAAAAAAGAACCATCTAAAGATTAACCCCAGCTTATTTCACCTCAAGATTAACCACCCTAATGCTAATCCAACCACAACCTAATCAATATTAACATAACCCAACTTAACATAGCACTACACAACCTGATCAACCTTAACCTAACCCAAACCTCCAGGTAACATTAGGATGGTTTATTCTTCAGGTGAAAGAAACTGGGGTGTCTAATCTACAAGCAATCCAATCAATCTACCACCATAAGGAAAAACTTACCGGGAAAGACATCTTGCAGGAAGAGTGTGCCCATGTCTGCCGGTATAGAATCAAAACCGCAAGACCCCACAACATAGACACCATTATCTTCAGCCTCCTTGAAGTACTTTAACTGCATTGTATCCAGGTACTGAGGCTCCCCGCTGATGTCTACGTGGTTAGCTCCAGCCCTGATGCACGCAGACACCACTTTTTCACCGTAGAAGCGATACTGTGGGAACAAATAAGCTTCATTAGCTAGAGTACAGTAGAGTATGTCACTGAATGAATGTATACCATGTGGTGGTGATTTAATTAAGACGGAGACCTCTTATAATCTTAGCCTTTATAGATTAGCCCCGTCCCACCCCAGATAGCTTCAGGGTGGTTAAGCTGGGAGACAACTTCAGGAGAGTATTTTGGGGGCTAATGATAGGCCTCACAAATTCGTGTCGATTGGTTTTCCACCGTGGCCAATTTTCCGAAAGGCACAGATTTATGGAATAAGCATTAACAACAAAGGAAAATATGTTAATGAAACACTCCAAGACTAAATACAATTGTAGAGTACAATATAATATAAGTTTCCTTGTTCAGCTAAAGAAGTTTAGATGCTTGTGTGGTTTTAAGTGGTTAATTTTGTTGGATTTTCCCCTCAAATTAGCGTAACTGTACACTGTAACATCAAAACTGAAAATTGTAGGCATATAAACAGCAATAACAAAACATATAAACAGCAGTGATGAAAGAATAAAAAAAAAAATGATACAAGTTTAGTGTACAGTACAGTACACACTCCACCAGTTCACCATAGCATCTGTTGCTAAAAGAGACAGAGACAGCTGGGATGCTGTTAATTTCTAAAGATATTATTATTGTATAAATGAATTTTAATAAAGGCACCAAGATCAAAATACTTTAATTATCGGTACATCCCGTGTTGTGACGATTCACGTATTGGCAGATTTTATAAAATTATTTAAGAATAAGATATTTAGCTGTGATGAATAAGATAAAATAATGTATGTTGTACAAGTAAATGTGAGGAATAAATAACGTTAATACCAATACAGTGGTCTCTCGGTTAACGAGCACAATTCGTTCCAGAAGGTTGCTCGTTAACCGAAAAATTCTTTAACCGAAACCATTGTTTCAATGGGTTTTTGGGTACCGTATTTTTCGGCTTAAAAGACGCACTTTTTATGACAAAAATATACCTCGAAAATTACCATGCGTCTTCCAGGACACTAGTCGATGAGTTGTAGCAGAGGTTTTTGAAATCAGCCCCTTACAAAGACTGTTACCTCATTACAGTACTTAACAATTACAAGTATTCTCTATACAGTACCATAAAACTACAGTATTGTTTTAACTAATATTGTGGATATATTGCAAAAAAAAAAAAAATAAACCCTTGCTGCTGTGTGGTTTGTTTACTAATGGCAGTGGTGCGGCAGCGCCATCTATTGAGGAATTGCTAAAGGTTGTCTGCTGGTCTCAAATGCAGGAATGTTTGTTTCTTTATATGTAGGCTCTCATATTTGGACACCTATTTACAGTTGGCTCTCATATTTGGATACCCATTTAGACTGTAAAAACCCCACAAAATTAAAATCTTCCAAATTTAAATACACCTTCGTCATCCAAGTAAAAACACACACAACAACATTGGCTGTCCTTATGTTTTCAACTTTATTACCACTGGTGGGTAGATACTTTTTTTAATTCAGAAACATTATTTAAAACATATATGAACAGTAAATAAGTGTTGCTTTCATATTCTTATGTAGAGTAATGATGATATGTTTACACATGTGCTCACTTACATACGTGATCTAACTTTTTTTTTTACCCTTAATTGTTAGCTACTTCCATTGTTCCATTTATTAACATTAAAAAACATTACTTAAAACAAACATATTAATTTTACTACAGCTACAACCAGGGTCGTATTTTCTTCAGTTTTATATGTAGAACCAATCAGTCACTGGTTTTGTAAACAACAAAAACAATGACGTCTTGTCTCCTCATGCGTTTTAATATTCTTCGTATTATTAATGAATTGTATTGTTCAATTTGCACACAAACAATAATTCAATCAAAAAGAAATTCAGAAACATTAATTAAAACATATATGAACAGTAAATAAGTGTTGCTTTCATATTCTTATGTAGAGTAATGATGATATGTTTACACATGTGCTCACTTACATATGCGATCTCACTTTTTTTTACCCTTAATTGTTAGCTGCTTTCATTGTTCCATTTATTAACATTAAATAACATTACTTAAAACAACCATATTAATTTTTCTACATTAATTTTAATACAGCTACAATGGAGGACTTATTTTCTTCAGTTTTATAATTATGTAGAACCAATCAGTCACTGGTTTTGCAAAAAACGAGTTTTTTTTTACTTTTACTTTATTTTTAAATTAAGAATTTTTGTTTTATATAGACGTTGATATACATGTTTACATTTGCTTACCTTCTACTGTTGGAAAATATTTCCCGTCGTCATACCGACAAAAACAAGAGAAAGAATGTAAACACTACAGCCCCTAAGATGTGGAGGTGACCAGGTGTATAAAATGAGTGCTGTATTAAGGATTTCATCTTCTAATACAGATTTTTTTTTAATTAATGAAAATGACGACTGATAAGCAGTTCTAAGTGATGATATTCAAAGAGGTGTGTGTACTTGTGCCAAAAGGGCTGTATAATTATCAAGCAACGGTTTCACTGGTGTTTGTAGTAGGGAGGTACCGGGTACTACTGCCTGGGAAGATATTGGTGGACCCTGCTGCCATATGGCATCACGAAAATTGTGACCAAGTCCCAGGTTGCTGATCTGACTTTCTGCCACATTTACACACAATTGCAGGGTCTCAATTGTTTCTCTTACTTTGACAACACAACATACATATATTGTTTCTCACTCTTGATTTTTTTTCATTTTTGTATTTATTATTATTATAATATTATTATTATTATTACTATTATTACTATTATTATTACATTTTCGCCCCCTAGGCCCCAATGTGGGTCAGTGACCTGTGCCCAGGTGGGCTAATACCTGAAAAAAAAAATTAGAATTTCATTTCCAAAATCAGGGTGCATCTTTCACGATGCAGCGTCTTCTAAGCCGAAAAATACGGTAATTGGTTCCAGCTCACCGAAAATTGCCTAAAGTCAACAAAAAAGGTAGTAAAGTACACTTACTTTGAGGTGTGTATGTAGAAGGCTCCTGGATGATAATGATGATGATGGGAATTAGAATGGGGGTGGAGGAGATGGGAGAAGAGAAGGCATTGGGGTGGAAGAGAAGTCACCCCATGGCGCCATTTCACCCATAAAATTTTAGTTCACTTGGTGTAATTCAAGATTATATTCTTTAAATCAACACTGCACTGCATTATATATTGTCAATATGTAAAATAAATTTCAAAATGACCAATAATTTGCTTGGAAACACAGAAAAAAAGCACTTATGTTGAACAGAGTCTGAAGCAAGATGTTACCTCCACTGAAAAGATGACGCCTGTATGGTGTATTGACAGGCTGTTTGGCACGCAAAAAACTAGCTTCCTATTCTTCAATTATGTTCAATAATTGTTAAAATTACTAAAAAATTTAATATAAAACTTTTAAAATTATTGAATAGTACAAACTTCTTGATATTTACTAAAATAGTAAGGAATTTAAGCCCTAGAACCGATTACTGTATTGGCGGACTAATACTACAGCTGGTGGACCGCCAAATGCAAGCGAAAACATGTGGAGTGGCGCTCGTAAGAAATTCGTTAAACGAGGGATTGGTCATTAACCGAAGTTAAGAATCTTATGGAAGGTAAATCGTTAGCCGAAAACTCGTTAACCGAGGGATCACTGTACATAAATAATACTGTACAGTGTTGGCATTTGGATGTTAGATGACAAATTATTTGTCAACTGTTTCATTACATAGGAGACAGATCAGAACAACTGAGATCCCACACTCTGCTGACTCCGCTTCCCCCATTCGGCCTGTTAACTCTCACACACAAAGAAATGCTTATTCTTCCTATGTTTTTACCTTATACCTGCATGTAGGATTGTGTGCACATGTAAATGAGAAAAAATAAATAAAAAATAAAATAAAATAAAAAATAAACAAATCAATAAAAAAAAAAATATGCATATCTACCCAAAATTATGAGTTGAAAATAACCATAGCATCGGTCACAGTTCAGCCAGGTAAGGAGAGTGTGAGGGGATGTGGCTAAAGTAACCAAAACAAAAGAATCTAAGGGTACAGTAGACAGGCCAGGTTAAAGAACCTTACTGGTTAGGTTAGCCTACCATAAGCACGGGCTGGGTAGCTCTTGATCACTGTAAATGATCCGTGGAAATGCATATATTTTAACCACTCCAAAATACTATGCGTACCTTGTGTGTAATTTGACATACTACCTCTTGCATTAAGCATCAACTCTACTCAAGTATATATGGTAATTTTCTTCCAAAAATAAAAATAGATAAATAAAGATATAAAATAAAATACATAATAATAAAAAATTTAAACAGGCACGGACAATTGATAAACACAGTAATTGGCGAATGCTCCTGAAAATGCTCGGATTTGTGAAAAAAAGAACTTCTGAGGCACAAATTTGTGAGGTCAGTCTGTAGTCTTAAGGTGAACATTGGGGGATAGTTTTAAGGTGAACATTGGGGGACAGTCTTCAGGTGTACGTGCGTCTAACAACTTCCACTACTGGCCGCGAGGGTTCTCTACGGTGGTGCGGGAGACAGAATACACACCCATGCTCTTCATATTTTACTTTATAGTTTATAATATATTTTCCATTCAGTATTTCTAAGTCACATTAGAGTAATGAAATGATTTTTCCACAACTTTTATAGTTTCATTATATGTAATAATGGCAACATGCATTACCATCTTGCAGGCCACAGCTGACTACATAAATGAAGTGCCTTAGATATAAAGAAAATATAATATAAAACAATAAAATAAGAAAAATAAAGAGCATATTTAGGAAGTAAAGGTGTTATGGAGTGGGTTTTTGCTCATTTTATCTTCCCTTGGGTGAACATGGCAGTTTTGGGTCTGGACGGGGTCTTCATTAACCTAACCCTCACGATGTTTAAGTGTTTACTCTACTGGTAACCTTTCATCACAGATATATCCTAGATCGGCGTCAGCCAACTCCTATTGTTTATCACGGACATATTCGTGATTAACACCCAATGGGTTAACATATGACAATAATAAGGAAACTTAATGTTGGAACACACTTATGAGAATGTTTTGATTTGAGCAGAAACATCATCAGTAAATTAAACAGCTGCAGCAGCGGTGTAACGAGGGATATGTCAGACAACATGTGGATTGAGGTGGAATATCACTTAGATATGCTGCCTCACATAAAAGGTGTATTGAAGAACACAAGAGGTAGTGGAAGTTATCAGTGCATCACTCACTAGGATATGAAGGAAGGCTACTGTACAATGAAACACTTTCCTACGTACTGGTCCAACACAGTTGATGACAACTTTGGTCTGTTTTGCCATATTCAGGAGACTTTCCTCATCCTTAACATCTGCAACAATCAGCCCAATAGACTTCAGATCAAGTCCTGTATGCATTTCAGCTTCCAACACAGTGTTGTTCAGCTTATCCTTGCTGCGGCCAGCAAAAGCATACTTCAGCTTTGGATTTTTCTCACCAATCTTGGCAACCTGCAAAACAAAATGAACATTAATCATCTTTCACAGACACTTCAATGCTCCAGAATTGAAAAGAATGAAGGGCAGGGAATATGAGTAACGGTTTGTCATACAGTACACCATCTGACAAAAGTTGTTCTCAATAATGTACAATACAGAGGTGGATCATGGGGGGGGTCCAGATTCCCCCCCTTTCATCAGAAAATTTCAATACTTTTCCCTTACTGCAGTATTGTACTCAGGAGTAAAATGTAATTACTATTGACAATATCTAGTGCACATGGCTTCAAAATGCCTCATAATACCCATGACATTGGTCAGATTTCCAAAAAAAATTCCCACAATTTGGACCCCCTCCCCTTTCATATTCCTGGTTCTGCCCCTCCATACTCCTTGCCCATAATGTCAGTGTCAATGTATAAACTACTAAAATATTATACATATGTTACTGTAGGCGAGTCATTGCCTTTATATCAATCATATACTGCACAGTATTGTACTGTACCAAGTGAATACCAAATATTTACTCATGACACAAGAAAAGAAAAAGATACTCTTACTCATGTTATTTATGTTTATCTGTACAAATTCTTCAAATCTGTGTATAGGTTCTTCATCCACTTGTGGGATAATGAACAGTATTGGATCAGGAAGGTTAGTGATGCTACTACATACAGTATACTGAAGGCTGGTAATGCGCATAGTACCTTGTTCTGACAAATGCTGGTCCAGTCATCTCTTAAAGGTCAGAACATAACAGATGGAATCTCCTATTCATATGTCTACAAGCCACAAATGGCCTCTGCATCAATTGTAGAAACTCAAAAATTAACTAATATACCGTATATACTCGTTTATAACCCCCCTTCGTATATAGGTCGACCCCGATTTTTTGACCAAGAAATTGTTAATTTATGATATTCCTCGTTTATAGGTCGACCCAAGTTTTTGAGGGTAAAGGAACAACAAAACCTTCAGAGAAACACTACGTCCTATAAACTTGTTTACCATTTATTATTACGACACTTTACACTGAAACGCGGGTAGTTTCAACAAAAATATTGTATATTTCCATTCAAGTATTTATTCAAGTCAATTAGGAGGGAATATTATTGTAATAAAATAGTTTTTTAACTGAAAACCATTCGAAAGGCGATTGCAGTAACATCTTTTCAACGAAAGAAAGCGAAAGTCAATGTTTTCGTCACAATTTTATCCCACTTTCCACTATAATACGTACGTCATTTCAGCAAAAAATATTACATTTCCGTGAATGTATTATATCAAGCACAGTATGAATAGAATATCACTAATATAACAGTATTTTAACCGAAAACTAATAAAAAAACGAGTAACAAATCTTGAACATCGGAAGGTTTGGTAAAGTCTTTTGTTTTCATGTAGTTTATCCTAATTTACATTGAAATACATCACGTTTCAGCAAAACTACTATTTATTTCTGAGAATAAGGAAATGTAATATTTTTGCTGAAATGACGTACGTATTATAGTGGAAAGTGGGATAAAATCGTGAAAAAAACAATGACTTTCGCTTTCTTTCGTTGAAAAGATGTTACCGCAATCGCCTTTCGAATGGTTTTCAGTTAAAAACTGTTGTATTACAATAATATTCTATCCTAATTCACTTGTGATGTAACAGTTTTTTAACTGAAAACGATTCGAAAAACACGTGTACCGTCTAGCTGATACGGCAGAGCCCTGGTCGCGGAGGCTTTGTGTTTGCTTCGGCCCTTCTTAAGCAGCTTTTAATTTTAGCGTACGTTGAAATTGTGTTTACCGGTATATTCTTATTTTCTTGCTTCTTATTTTCCAGAAATATGACAAGTTTGTATATAATACAATGTTACGGTACTTTTAATTTACAAGTATTCATTTTTAAAAATACAGAAGACACCAAACAAATACCAGTACTACGGTTATTTGCGTGACTCTCCCGCCAAAAAAGACCAAACAGCTGGTACTCTCTCCCTCAGCCCTACCAAAAATAGCCCAACGACATCTTTCTTGTTTATTCTCTTCCAATTTCTCACTTTAACTGGTATTTTTTACTTCATATTGCCTACATCAGATAAACTACAGTAATTGAGGTTAGACACTGTTATAAATTTGATTACCGGGTCCTGGCAGGTGCCGTTAGAACCACCTGACCCTACCAACAGTGTTGCAAGTCAGACAGCATTTTTTTAATCATCCATGTGCACGAGAAAGGATGGATGGATGAAGGCGGCATACAAATATGGCTTAAAAAAGTCTGAACTTTAGACCAGGGGGACTGCGCAAAGAAAAAAGTCTTCTTGTGTGGGATATGTTTCGGTCACATCTTGTTGACAGTGTTACTGCTGGGATTAGGAAGGAAAACACTGATACAGCTGTGATTCCTGGTGGATTAACAAGTCTTGTCCAACCACTGGATGTTTCCATAAACAAACCATTTAAAGATGCGGTAAGAGTGAAGTGGAACAACTGGATGATAGAAGGCGATAAGACATACACAAAGGGAGGCAACATCCAAGCTCCATCACTAGCAACATTATGTGAATGGATTGTAGAGGCCTGGGATGCAATCAGACCAGAAATTGTGGTGAAATCTTTTAAGAAATGTGGGATTTCGAATGCTCTTGATGGAACAGAAGACGACTTGTTGTGGGATTATGAGGCTAATGAGAGCGTGAATGAGGATGAAGATATTGATGATCCTATGGCTGATGATGGTGTTGATCCATATGACGATGCTGTTCAAGGAGAGGACTGGGAGGAGCTGTTTGGTGCTGCAGATGATGACAAGGAAAATGATTTTGATGGATTTTAATGAAAATATTCAGAAATATGGTATCGTAGTATTTATTCAAGTCAATTAGGATAGAATATTATTGTAATACAACAGTTTTTAACTGAAAACCATTCGAAAAGCGATTACGGCAAAATCTTTTGAACGACGAAAGAAAGTGAAAGTCATTGTTTTCGTCACAATTTTATCCCACTTTCCACTGTAATACGTACGTCATTTCAGCAAAAATATTACATTTCCATATTTATTTCTGAGAATATATTCATTCAGGCACAGTTAAGGTAAAATATACTTGTGATGTAATATTTTAATGAAAATATTTATAAATAAGGTATCGTATTTTTCTTTTGTTTCAAATTTAATTAACAAAGATTGATGTTTCAAATTTGATTAAAAAAAATTTATGTATCCATAAATAAACTATTAAAAATGAATACTTTATGTTTTACATACTCCTGTGCATACCATACCATGCATTTGGCTACTTTGGGCTTGCTATGATGACGCAAGATATCTGCCCTGGCAACTGTACCGACACTCACAGCAGGTGGTGAGTTGGTGCGTCGTTTCCATTGTTTACTGGTAGTTACTGGTAAATATTTTTCAACCTAACGAAACTATTACCCATATAGAGGTCAACCCCCAACTTTTTGCCAAAAAATTTGGTCTTAAGAACTCGTGCTATACACGGGTATATACGGTACTTGTACCTCTTACTGCCGTGAGCCTCAGAGGAACTGAAAACTATGTCCATTTTAACTTACCTTCTTTACAACACAACACAACATTTACTTTTATCCTCTTTGCCACTGATCAACTCGTTAGCCGCCTGGGCGATCAGTCACATCTCTGTTAAGCACTGCAGGCAAGTACTGGGCATGAACTGGCTCCTGAATGTATCTGGACCTGCTCCAGTGTTGGTCAAGCCTGGTCTTGAAAGAGCTCACTCTCGGTGCCGTCACAACACACACTGGCAGATTGTTCCAAGAGTTCACAACTCTCACTCTGAAAAAGTTACCCCTCACTGTTTTCTGGACTTGTGGCTTCTTCAACCTTGAGCTGTGACCCGTTGTGGGGGCAGGCATTCGCCAGCTCCAGGTAAGGACACTCGACTGAGTAGTGCCCTCCGAGATATTTATACACTTCAATTAGGTCCCCCCCTTGTCCATCTGTAGTATAAGCTAGGCAGTTGCAGACATTCTAATCGCTCTGGGTAGCTGAAGTGCTGTACAGCAGGCACCAGTCTGGTGGCCCTCCTTTGGACATTTTCAATCAATTTACAGTACCTAGCATACCTCGGGAACCAGGAGGGGTGACAGTACTCCAACGGGTAAGCACCTCACTCTTGAAGATCGTTACGAGGGAAGGACCATCGAGATACCTGAACAATGACCTTCAAGACCTACTCGTTTTGTTGCTTGATTTACCTTATCAACATGCACACTAGGGTGGTCCTTATTTTTCAACTTTGGAATTTTTTACCACAGACCCTGCTAAAAGTGTCCATTTAGGACAAAAACATTGTGTGTAGAGTTATTTTTAAATATATTATTATTTAGAGGTTGCTCAAAGCTGTCAAAAATTAAGTAATTGATGTAGTCGATTACTTTGTAGCAGATTACGCCCACCACTAGTGCGTCGCATTTGGCACGATTGTGGTGAGTTTTTGCTGGTCGTGATTGATGATTGGGGGAAATCAGAAACAGTTCTGCAGAGTATTCTCATTATTAATTTATAATAATAGTTAATTTCTTTATTCCTCAGGTCAAAATGGCTAATGCAGGAGTAGAAACACGAGAAAATGTGTATTTGATAAAGACATTATGTGATGACATTACAGGGGCTAAGTTACCTTCAAACAGGCAAGTGTTACAGTATTTTTTAAGCCTGCGTCGCAAACAGAAAAAACCATCAGAGTGGCAGCTGGGGAAGTCACAGACAAAGTTCTTCAATTTTGGACAAAAGCAAATATTCCCACACACCACAAACCAGATTGTGTGAATCAAGTGCACAAAATGTTTGACAAGTGGAGTAGTTTGAAAAAGAACTCTTCAAGAAAGACAGAAACTCAAAAGCGGAAAGAGAAAGAGTTCACCGATACATTTGAAGATCTCTTTGATATTGCACATGTGAATGCTTTGAATATGATGACAGTTCAGGAGGATAAGGATTTCTTAATAGCGCAACGAGAAAAAGGGCGTCGTGGGGCAATGTCATCTCTTGACAAAGTATTCCTGAAAAGACAGAAACGACAAGAAAAAACTCTCAAGAAAGCAATGAAAAGGAAGTTGGCTGCAGACAGTGCAGAGGAAGAAGCCAAAAAATGCCAGGCCATCGTTGTCTTGGACAGCAGTAGTACGTCTCCTTCTGAGGAATCCAACCCAGTTCCTGGCCCATCAACACTTCAAACTCCACCTATTGTCAAGAAGCGTTGGCAAAAAGAAGTTCTAACTCCAGAACTTTCTGCAGCATTAGATCGGACCAAGTCCTCAGATAGAATGGCCATGCACATTGTCACCCAAACTGCTCGGAGTCTGGGCCATGATGTCAGTGAAATGATTCTGAATCGATCAAGCATCAGGAGGAAACGTCAGCATCATCGCAGTAGCAGGGCAGCTGAAATCCTTTCAAACTTCAAACCAAAGTCAGTTTTAATTGTTCACTGGGATGGTAAATGGGGGCCATGTTGACAGACTCCCAGTTCTTGTCTCAGGCAATGGCACCTCCCAACTTCTTGCTGTTCCAAAACTTCCCTCTGGTACCGGTGATGAACAAGCAAAAGCTGTTGTGAAGGCTTTACAGCAATGGCACATTGCAGACATCGTGCATGGCATGTGTTTTGATACAACAAGCTCAAATACTGGTCACCACAAGGGTGCGTGTCAAAATTGAGCAGTTGCTGGGTCGTGATTTGCTATATTTTGCTTGCCGCCACCATGTACTAGAACTTGTAGCTGGAGCTGCTTTTGAAGCTGTAATGGGGCACTCAGCTGCTCCTGACATACAGCTGTTCCGAAGATTCCAAGCCAAATGGGAACAAATTGACAAGCAGAAGTTTGAAGACTCCTCCACCGACGATCTGGCAGAAGAATCGGTCAGAGCTGTTAGGGACGATCTAACCAACTTCATTGAGAAGGCTCTATTGGAGACACAGCTTCGAGATGATTATCGAGAGCTGCTGGCTGGCCTCCATCTTCCTTGGCACATCACCTTCTCGGGGAGTACGATTTTCTGCTCCTGGTGCAATGCACCAAGCACGATGGATGGCAAAGACCATTTATTCCTTCAAAGTGTGGTTATTCCGTTCTCAGTTTAAGCTTACTCCAAAGGAGAACAGAGGACTAAGAGATTTGTGCATTTTCTTTGCCCGAATATATGTGAAGGCTTGGACAACTGCTCCACTTGCTGCAAAGGCACCAAAAGGAGATCTGATGTTGCTTAAAGCTCTACAAGACTACAGTACCATCAGCGATGCCATATCAAAGGCAACTTTCCACAAAATGATGAGACACCTCTGGTACTTGTCAGAAGAGTTGGTTGCATTGGCCTTCTTTGATGACGATGTTCTCCCAGCAGTGAAGGACCGCATGTTGGAAGCTATGAACATCGTTATTGGAGAAGAAAAGCATGTCAAACGGGTTACAATCAATCCAGATACACTCCAAGTGAAGAACCTATATGATTTCACGACAAAGAACACAAAGTCATTTTTCAAAAAGCTCAACTTGAATACAGATTTCCTGACCCTCCCAGTAGAACAGTGGAAAGATGATCCTGGCTTCCAAAATGCAAAAGCCAGTGTACAAGCTCTGTCTGTGATCAATGATCATGCAGAAAGAGGAGTAGCCTTAGTCCAAGATTTCTCAGGCCGCATCACCAAGGACGAACAGCAACTGCAGTATCTACTGCAGGCAGTTGCTGACTACAGGAAATCATTCCCTAATGCCCTCAAGCAGACCTTACTGGGTGACAGAGTGAGACTGGTCCTCATGCGACCCCTGCCTTGAGCAGCTAATACCCACTTAGACTAAGTGGGGGGGGGGTGGGGGGGGGCCAGGCTTGGGGGCTAGGAAATGATGTGTTATGAACATTAAGCATAGGCATAATATTGTTAAATTTCATTTGGCTTGAGCAACCTCTAATTATTAAGATATTTAAAAAATATTTTACAGGCAATGTTTCTACCCCAAATGAAAACTTTTGCCAGCGTCTGTGACAAAAAAAATGGCAAATTTTGTTTTTTGCCCCAAAATAAGGACCACCCTAATGCACACCCAGGTGCTTTTCACATTTGGTCTCAATTAATGCAGTTTCTTTGTTCTGTTGGGTCATGTGGTATGCCTCCCTGCTGTTGGTATGACCTAGGTGCGGTGCATCCTCTTGCACTTCGTGACATTGAATCTTAACAACCATTTCTTCGACCATTCTTGAAGCCGAGAGATCTTTCTGTAGCTCTTCGCAGTATGTTTGGTTCTTAATTTCCCTAAATAACTTGGCATCTTCTGCAAACATTTCTATGGAGTGGATAGCTTCTAGCATGTTGTTTATGAAACAAAGGGCCCAATACACTGCACTGTGGTACTCAGCCTGTCACGGATACACATGACAATTGTGCGTCATTAATCATCACGCACTGCTTGCAATTGTGATGAAAGTCACCGATCCACACTAGGGCATTTCCCTGAATTCCTGGCCCTTCCTGTTTAATTCTCAGCCTTAAACTGGAAGGGTACGGGACGGAAATGTCCTAGAGTGGATTGGAGATTTTCCATGCAAGGACCTTTCATTGAAAGACCTTTTGTTTAATTACACCTTGATATTTCTCTACAACCACACAGAAAACTAGCAACATAACATAAACGTCTTACCTCTTCGGCAACAAACTGTCCGGTAAACCCCGTGGCCCCGAACACTACCAGATCATACTCTCGTTCACCCATCTTGAGTCCACCTTACGTCCTGAAACAATGGTCAATATATCACTGTGTAATCTTAAATGGTGACTATACATATGGCACAGAATTAATTATAGCTGCAACTGTTGAAAGGGATCACCTGAAGAATCTCCATCCCAGCTTATTTCACCTGAAGATTAACCATCCAAATGCTTATCTATCATCACCCCCCCCCCAATAGCATTAGGTAGTACCCACGTTACGACTGTCTGATTTACTATCAGGGTCCAGGAATGTATCCCTGCACTAAGGCTGCCCACCAACCTGGTCTCATGGCTCACAGATTTCCTGAGTGAGCATCGTCAGGCAGTCAGGTACCAGGGTTCTGTCTCCACATTTCAACACCTCACCTGCAGTGTTCCCCAGGGGACCAAGATTGGACCACTGTGCTTCCTAATTCTGATCAAAGACGCTCTGTCGGACACTCCTCACAGGTGAAGTACGTGGATGACTGCACTGTGGGGGTTACAGTGTACAACACCTAACCGGACTACTCATCGCTACAAGGCACCCTGGACAGGCATGGACTACAGAGAACAAGGTCACCATCAACCACGCCAAAACCGTAGTCATGCACATCAATACCACCACTGTCATGGTCATAATGACATGGCTAGTCTGCTAAAACCTAATAATTCATATTACGCTCCATGCCCACAAAACCTGTAAACCTTACGAGTCTCCCAGTTGAAACATTCGTTCTCTAACCACTTCAGGAGATCCGAGTCCTCCATTTTCCATGTCGCATTTCCGGAGAAACTCGAGTACACGGTTTACCTAAATTCCGCACAAGGTGTTCATGCATTTGAATTGGTAAGAGAACACCCTTGTTTTGCATCAACTTAGAGATGTCTGATTGCAGATGAAGCATTCAAGATCCGTTGTGACTGATGTTGAAAGCTTCAATTGTATTTACTATTAGCTAATTGTTAATATAAGTCAGGGTAGAGTCGGCAGTGAGAGTGAGGTATCATTGACGTTGGCCCTAGAGATGCCAATGATTGTTGACCAAGGCTTAAGTCACCTCTTTTTCACATATGAACATCAGAGAATCTGATGTTCATGGTGAAATTGTTGTAAGGATGTTAATCACAAAAGTAATCAATTAACCTGAAGGGAACTGTCAGACCAGGTATCTTTGAGAATTTAACGGGAGTAATTGGATACTACTTGCCTTAGGCTCTGCCCGCCAGGGACTGCCATCCTGAACCTTGAAATCAATTTAATTCTTGTCTTCGATAGCACCAGTCTGAGCGTAGTTTGATAAGGGAATCTTAGGAAATGGAAATGAGTTCGTAGTCTTAGTTTCAAACGTCAAAGTGTACAGTAACGTAGTACAGTCAACCCTCACTTTACGCGGTTAATGTAACCCACAGGGTACCGCGGAAAGTGAGAAACGCGTAAAGTGAATAACATAACATATGGGATTAAATGAAATAGAGACCAGCTGAGCCCCAAACTCCACTTTTTCCAACACAATACCTATGTTCTAGTAAAAATAACATCTTAATTTTATGATGGTACATGCACACAATTAATACTTAAGAGAAATAGAGAAATACAGTCACCAAGTTAATGTCCATTCAAATAATGGACTCCACTCCCTCCCCCTCTTCTCACAGTACACTCACTGGCTCTTCCCTCTGAGAAATTTTGGGGGGAAAACCAGGTATAGTAATAAATAATACCTCAAACTAAAGTTAGGATAATATAATTGACATTGCTGGATTCCTTGTAAGACCAGGAATATTTTGAATATAAATGTCATATATTTTTCACAAAAGATAACATATTTACTCAGAGTAAACATTACATCTAAAATTTGTATGTCTAATGCAAAATCTATGATGTTTATATTCAAAATGATCATCAAATTGTAAGAATTCCAGCAATGTAAATTATATTCTGGCCGGGTAATTTGTATGAATTTTATGAGCTAAAACAAATATCTTCAGTTAATAAAAAAAAAATATTCTTCAGACACTATCTGTCAATCAAAGTACCCCACCTTGCCTCCCCCCTCTTCCAACGAGCCAGATGGTCAGTCCGTCCCAACCCTCCCCCCCACCTCCCACCAACCCTCCCTTCAAGAGAAAGAGTGGGTGAAAAAACTAGATTTTAACATTTAGTATTAAATAATACCTCAGATTAAAGTTAGGATAATATAATTGACATTGCTGGATTCCTTGTAAGACCAGGAATATTTTGAATATAAATGTCATATATTTTGCACAAAAGATAACATATTTACTCAGAGTAAACATTATATCTAAAAATTTTATGTCTAATGCAAAATCTATGATGTTTATATTCAAAATGATCATCAAATTGTAAGAATTCCAGCAATGTAAATTATATTCTGGCCGGGTAATTTGTATGAATTTTATGAGCTAAAATAAAAATCTTCAGTTAATAAAAAAAAAATATTCTTCACACATGCCAGGTGGTCGGTCGCCGGTCCCTCCCTCCCCCCCACCAACCGTCCCTACTAGATAAATGTGTGGGAATACCAGACTGTTTACCTTTTTAGTAATAAATAATAAATCAGACTAAAGTTAGGATAATATAATTGACATTGCTGGATTCCTTGTAAGACCAGGAATATTTTGAATATAAATGTCATATATTTTTCACAAAAGATAACATATTTACTCAGAGTAAACATTACATCTAAAATTTGTATGTCTAATGCAAAATCTATGATGTTTATATTCAAAATGATCATCAAATTGTAAGAATTCCAGCAATGTAAATTATATTCTGGCCGGATAATTTGTATGAATTTTATGAGCTAAATAAAAAAATTATACTTCACCCGTGTAAAGGGGTACACCCACCGCGGAATGTGAGCATCCTGGGTTCTGGCAGGGCACCGCGTAAACGTGGAAACGCGGAATGTGGGACCGCGTAAAGTGAGGGTTGACTGTACATTGAAATAGTTGGTCGAGTGTAACTCAGAGCTAAACAGAGGAGGAGGAGTGCGTGACACTGACGCTCGGCATCAGTCCAGCGTCTGAAACTCCTCCACCCACAGGTAAGGTCCAGCTCTGTGTTATACCTCGCCACTTTAGGTGATTTTTTACTTGGTTAATAGTTTGAATATGCAAGTGATACAGTAACATAAATGATGTGTTTTAAGTGAAGTATTCTTATGCCCTTAGCGTCCTTTTGAAACGTTGACGTTCATGTCAACAAAGTGAGTCCAGCGTCTGAAACTCCTCCACCAAGTAAGAAAAAACCAAGGTTAGGGTTAACACTTACGTTAGTAGAAGAGATGGGTCGGCGTACGGGAATGAAGGCTGGTTCCGAGGCAGAGGGCAGGCTACTGGCCCTCAGGTGAGTCTTCATCACTGTCATCCACTCTTATTAGTGCCTCCCTGACAAATCCCTCAAAGTCACCATCACTGTCTCTATCACTGGCTTGGGCTGGCTGCGGTGGGTTGCGGGCGAAGAACTCTGTAATGCTTTGCTGACGGCTGGTGTTCATGTTGTCGCGATAAACCTTGAAGTAGGGCTCCATAGTCTGCAACAGCTGGGTAGTGAAGACTTCATACCGGTTATCGTCAGGGTCATCGGAAAGGAGGAGCTTGAGTTTCTCAACACACTCGATGGCACCCCTTACATTACTGTGCGATAACTTGCTTTCTTCTCGGGGTGACGCACCACCTGCCTCTTCACTGACGTCATCATCATCTAGCATCTCGTCGGCAGTCACATGAGGATCCCTTATCACCTCCTGGATGTCGTCGTTTGTGGTCTCGGAGAAGCCTGCAGCTGTAACACACTGCGCAGCTTCTCTGGCAAGGTCCACTGCTACTGCAACAGTCTGAACCTCACCAGTCACAGATTTACTCTGCCTCCCACCTGGAATACCTTGCAACACATGTCTCCATGTGTGACGAACCGTTGCTACAGACAGCTGATCCCATGCCTCCACCAAGAAGTCAAACAGCTTTCTTGACGTTGAATTTTCTCCAAAATTGTTTCACAAGTACTTCTTGCTCTGCTAACTGTTGTTCCTCGTCGTCTTTGCTCTTGCTATCGGTGTCACCCAGGTTATGCAACTCATCCTTGGTGTTGGTGTAGTCGTTCAGGAGCTTAAATTTCTTTGCAGAGAATGCAGCTTTCACATTTCAGATCAATTCTTGGTCCATGGGCTGTATTAATGACATAGTGTTGGGAGGAAGGAAGACCACTTCTACGTTGGGGTGACAATCTAACAGTAGGGGCGAGTGTCCTGGTGCGTTGTCAAGCAGCAACAAATTCTCGAATGGCACATTCTGTTGCTCACAGAATTTCTTCACGTCAAGAACGAAACAGTCATCAAAACAGGAGAGGGACAGAGTAGAAAACATCCACGCCTTACGTGCGGTCAGCTAGTGGACATTTAGCTTGGTCATGTCCATGCTCTTGTAGGCGTGCGGCTTGCGTGCTGTGTGGATCACCGATAACTTGAGCTTACAGGTACCAGAGGCATTGGTGGTAAAGAGGACGGTGATGCGCTCCTTCTGCAACTTCCGGCCCCAACACTTGCTGGCATTCTTCACAACAAAGGTCTTGGAAGGTAGCTTTTTCCAAAAAAGACCAAATTCGTCCATGTTAAACACCTGGTCGTCGGTGTACTGTCCTTCCTCCATAATCTCATGTAAAAACGGAGGAAAATCCCTAGCCGCAACAGTCAGCACTAGCTTCTTCACCACCAATGTTAATGTTGGTGATCTTGTTCCTCTTCTTAAATCTCTGCAACCACCCAGAGGAAGCATTGAAGGGTTTGGGCTCTGCAATTCCCATCTTACGTGACACTGCAGCATACAGTTCACGTGCGTACTCCTTAACTGAGCGCGTGTCCACCGCCATGTTCCGTCATGCCTGACGAATCAAGTACAGTAGCTCACAAGAAATTTCTCCGTCTGGAAAAGCACCTGGTTATGGCAATACTTGATCATAGAAGCACCTGTAGACTTTGTGATGTTCATGTGCTCCTTTATCTTGGCTGCATCCTTC